CCCCTAAGGGGTCTGGGACCTCCTTAAGAACCACCACTGGCACACTCTGTCCACTCTGAGCATGGGGTGTCTGGCAGAAGAAGGCTGGGGACCACAGGCTGGCTCTACACCCTTAGCAGGTGAAGCCCACGGGCCCCACACTCACGGTCACGACCTCCCCACCCACTGGGGCAGTGGCTGAGCCCTTTCAGGCTCCACCTGAAGGCACAAAGCCTAGGCACTGGCAGAAGCAGGGTGAATTTCCCACAGAGGCTGTGTGACTCGGGTGGGTCCCCACCCTCTCTGTATTTGTTTCAAAAAACGGAGCCAGGCATATTTCCTCCCCCCACCCCATCCCACCCACTCTATTTCTCTCCCCCGAGGGGACAGTGTGTGCTGGCCTGAAGCTGTGATGACTATGGGCCAGGGTTTCGGAACAGAACAGGACAGGGAACAGAACACTGAGGTTTGGTGAGGAGAAATCAGCCTCTCTCCATCCTCCCTCCCATCCTGCGAAGTGCTCTGCATCTGGGGCAGTGTGCCCACAGGCCCTCTCCTGGGTGCCTCTGCCCCCATCTGTGAAAGTGGAGGAGACAGAGACACAAAACATCTAAGACTTTATCCGGGGAGTCAAGGACCAATTGCCTTCAGTTTCAGACTGAATGCACTTTGAGGTGCTTAAAAAATGCCCTTTGCACCCTCCCAATCCAATCCAGAAGCTCTCCCCTTGCCCCTCCTCTTCCCTGGCTTGTTGGAGAAGCCCTGTCTTGTAAAAGAGGAGCTCCTGGCTTCTGGAGTCAGAGTACCTGGGTTCAAGTCCCATCAGAGTGTGACTGGCCTACAGCCACCTTCTCACAAAGCTATTTAGAACCAGTTGAGCTGAGTGAAACCACATTACAACAGCTCCTGGCCGCCATAAACGTTAGCTATTACTGTTAATACCTCCAATGCTAATGGATATTTGAGCCTCTCTCCTTGCGGCTGTGTGGATACCAGCAGGACCCTTCTGAAAATATGAACGCAAAATGCTAGGGAGGAAAGAAGATGGGGGCTTGGGTGTGCTCAGGGAATGCCGGCAGGCTGTCTGCCAGGCTCAGACTGGAAAAAAAGTGGGTAGGGGCACTGCAACGCCAGCCCAGAGCTTGGGGGACATTGGCTGCTGCCCCACTGGAAGTAGAGGGAGAGATGTTTTGTCTTTCCCAACAAGCTGGGAAATGAATGAGGTCCACAGCAGAGAGTGAAACAAGGTGGGGGTGGGTAGGACCCGGAGGAAGAATTGACTGCCTACCCCTCCACCCCGCCCTGGGGGAGGCTAACTCTCTCTGGCTCCCTAGATCCAGCCAAACACCGCAGTCCAAGCTGATCAGCATCCTGGTTCTTTCTGAGAGCCTGCTGCCTCTAAAATGAAAATAGAAAAGTCTTCGTGTATTGTCCACTGTCCACCCCACAAAGAAAGTGGGGGCATTTCCCCTGGCAGTTTCAGGAAAAAAGCAATGCAACCGTGAAACATTATTTTAATGCTCTTTATAATACATCCACAACTGAACATTTTTCTCTCTTAAAGGAAAAGGAGTATAATTTATTCTTTCTCTCAGTAAGACCTTGCAGACATTAATGCCGCAATTTTTAGTCCCCGGACTTTTCTGCTCCCATTTAGGAGACGCTATTCCAGGCAGGAGAAAGGTTTGTTTGGACGGTGCGGGGAGCCTGGGTGCCGGTGGGGGTGGGCAGTATATATGAAGAGACTCCACGATTCCTCAAGTCCCAGGTCTGCGGCTGAGATGCTCCGGGTGCGGGCTTGGATGATGAAGGTACCCCGCCTGCTGCATTCGCGGTGTCTTCTTTCAACTCAAAATGCAGGCTTTTGCTGGAGACCTGAATTTACCTGGCAAAAATTCGACTGTATCTTGATTTTCTCCTCTGTTTAAAAAAAAAAAAGAGGGAAGTTTTTCAATCCTTGTCGTGTTGAATCCAATGAGGAGGCTCGGGAAAGCCAAGAGCGAAGGATGGAAGGAAGCGCCTTGCAGGCCTCTGAGCCCGAAGCCAAAGTGCCCGAATGGCCTCCGGGCACCCGGTTGTTGGGAGCATTCGAGGGGACTCCAGGGTTGCCATGGTGACCAGGAAACCCAGGGCCCTTTCGGAAACAATTGCGAGGAACTTTTCCACCATGAACCTCTCTGTCAGTTGCTCCCCACGGCTGGCCAGCCTCTGTCAGTTTCACCCCAGCATTTTCTGTGATTGTAGTGGGGGAACAGGGCGTTTGGGGGTCCCTGCTTCCGGACCGTCTGTGGGGGCTGCCCCCAAAGGCCAGAAACCCAGCACCAGGAGGCCAGAGGAGACCCACAGCGGCGCACGGCCAGGCCCTGAGCTGAAAGGGAAGAAAAATTAGAGGTCTCGACCAAGCAATCGTTTTGGTGACGGATCCTTCCAGTTTGGGGTTTGGCCACCCTCGTCATCCGCACCCCCACCCGCCTCCCTTCACCTCCTCAAGGTCATTACTAGAGTTTTCACTCGCAGCTCCATGCGCAGTGGCCTCCTCCATCCTCCACCTCCCCCCTTTCCCTGCACCGGTGCAGACCACCTCTCCGGCAAGTTGGCAAGATTCTCCTCGAAAGAGAGGAAAAAGGCATTCGAAGTTTAGCCCTGCAGGTTTAAGTTTGCTATTCCAGCATCCGTAAAACAGCCTTTAAGGTTCTCTTAATACATGTAGGCCCAGAGCCTGATCAGACCCTCGGGATTTCCAAAATCCCTGGCCTGGCGCATTGTGGCCATAGGGCAAATGTGACCTGAATCAGTGGGCTGACTGGGAGATATCAAACTGAGCTTTCTTAAAGGGGGTAATTATTCTCACAATTACCATCTCCTTTGTTTTCTTTGCTGGTAAGGGTTCTGCTTCTCGGCAGGTAGACAGAGGGGAACCATGCCCTTTCTCCCTTAAATAAAAAGCTTTATGAAACATCAGATGGAATTCTCTCCGGTGGGGACACCGTGGCTCTGTGAGGCCCGGTCTGACTGGAAAGAGGCTCACGGGCAGCCAGCACGGGAGAGTTTCGTCTCTGGTTTTGAATTCGGCCCTTTGAGCAAGCTTAACACGTGTGGATTTAATTTCCCTTTCTTTCTTGCTTTCTTTTCTCCCCCCTCCTTGTGAGCAAACAAGAAAAATAGTCTGCTGTGTCGACAGCGCGACACCGTTCCCTTTGCCAAAGAAAATTTGTCTTTCCAGAGCCCCGGAGAGCAGCGGGCTCGCAAGTTTCCATCGCACCCTCCAGTTGAGGGAGGGGGTATCCAGACAGCCCCCCAGCCCCCTGCCTGCATCCCAGGCCTGGAGGTATTGGCCTAAATCTCTATCTTTACAGGGTCAGAGTCCTGGAATGTAGTATATTTTCCCCCACATCTTTTGGGGCTGTGGGGACGTTCTGGCTGTGTAGACATGGTGACTAAAGGCGGAGGCCTTTCTGTAAATTCTGGGCTGCAGATACAGTTGGAGTTCTCAGGCTCGGTGCAGTCTATGGGAGAGCACGGGGCGACAGGTTTTCTCAGCTCAAGACCCTCACCTTTCTCCTCCACTGGGGACTTTCCAAATTGGCGGAAGCAAGAACAGGGGCTCCTTTGCATCCCAAGCGTGGTACTGCCTTCTCTGTTCTATGGGGGCTTGCAAATCTCCAGCGCTGATATCCGCCTCGGCCGAATGATGTTCCCACATCCATTTCTTATTTCATTAACCTGACTGGGGTGCTGGTGGTCATGGGGGCATCTCGTCCGCCAAACTTGGGGGAGTGGGGAGGAATATTTCCAAAGCACAGGAAACAGCATCAACGTGCCTAATCAGTAAAATAAGGAGCAATACTAATTCTTGGTGGAAATATTGGGGAAGATTGGATATTGAAGTTAATAATAATAATAATAATAATAATAATAATAATAATAATAATAATAATAATAATAATAATAACAACAGCAGCAGCAGCAGCAGCAGCAGCAGCAGCAGCAGCAGCAGCCAGGGCTCCCAGATACTTCTGGTCAGAAGGGAGGAAACCAGAAACTAATAAAACATCAGAAAGGAAGATACTGCAGTTCCGGAAAAAATATAATAGAGCCAGATTTAACTAGGCAGCAGGGGAAAGTGACCCCCTGAGAAAGGAGGGAATTTCTCACCCTCTGTCTGACCCTTTCTTTTGCAAAAAGAGTTGGTCAAAGTTTACTTTTGCCATCATTTCTACTGTTGCTGTAATTCTTACTAATTTTCCCAGTCCTATCCGCACTTACACTCCCTTTTGGCCTGCAATAGAGACCCAAGTCAGGCGGGGACACATCGGGAGAGAAACGGAAAAGGAGGGGAATTCTTAAAAGAGTTCTCTTTGGGGAGGAAAGAAATACAGTGATTTTTTTGGGGATGCGGTTTTCTTAGAAAAGGCAAGAATGAAGAAAAAGATTTAAAAATGGTCACCCTTGCTTTTATTCTGTTTCTGATTTTTAAAAATAGGAATCTCAGCTCTCCAATCCACTGTAATATTAAAATCAGGGCAGGAATCTTGCAAAATGAGGAAATTACATTTCGGGAGAAAACCCAGGCTGGGGGCAGGTCTGGGAAAGCATCGATCCTCTGAAGGAATAAAGGGAAGTTACACATCGAAGCCTCTCTTTCAAGTTAACCGTCCAAAGCTTGCGAGAAGAATGGAGATTCTCAAATCTAGTTGAGGTCTTAAGTTTACCCCATCCGTGGTGCGGCCTCCGGACCCTCTGCAGTCCTTTGTGAGCCGGTCGGGGTGATTGCGGGGCCCGCGCGGGGGATGCCAGAGAAAGGAGCCAAACGGAAAAGAGCTCGCCCCGCTCAGAGTTTCGTCTTCCCCTTCCAGCCTCGGCGGGGCCCAGGCCTCCGTTTCCCATCCACCTCGGCCCCGAGGTCAAAGAGGAACCCATCTCGAGGTTTTGGGCGACGGATTTCGGCTTGCGCTCTTCGGCATCTGAGAGCAACTGCCGCACCCAAAGGGCCTCCGATTGGGGAAAAGATAATTATTAATAACGGGAAACGAAAGCGAAGCTGGGGGAAGTCGCTGCGGCCTGGCGGAGAGGACGGACGCGGCTTCTGCTTGCTGCAAGCTGCGGGGTCTGCGGCCCAGCTGGCCCCGGCGCCCGCGTCCGGCGCTGGAAACCACTGCCCGGTCTCCCCGCGGGCCTGACCTTCGCTCCCGAGGCCGCTCGGTCGGCTGCGTTCCTGAGCTTTCTGCTGCCGCTCCGGCCCCAGACGGACGCGGCCTGGAGCCAGGCCATGCTTCGGAAAGCCCTGGGAGCTGGGAGCGCGCGAAACCCAGGACCGAACCTGGAAGCCGGGGGCAAGTCCAGATTCCGATGTCCGGCTCCCTCGGGGCCCCTCGCGGGGAACTTACCCTTCCGGGAGGCCCGAAGCTCGCTGGCTCCGTGCTGGGTAGGCCTAGCTCCTCTCTCGGCGTCGCCCGGGGCGTCGACGCAGTACGGTTCGCAACTGAACCTAGTGCGTTTCCAGCTGCGCGCAAAAGCTTGTACGCATCCACCACGGGGCTGTTTAGAAGTTACGCGCATTGATGATGGCGATGATGATAATGATAATGATAATAGTAATAATGATAGCTTTTACAAAACAAAACAGAGCGCTTGGTCCTTCTGCAGGACCCAGCGCTGTAATTTTTCTCTGCAGGAATCACCCTTCTCCCCCCAACCCCCCTTCCTTCACCACCGACTTGCACCCCGTCCCCGCCCCTGCCGGGCCAGGCTGGGACCCGCGTATCCCCCGACCTAGTTAAAAGAGGATTAGCAGAAAGGACTTTTTCTCAGTAAGAAAACCCTGCGGACTACTCTCCGTTCGCCCTAACGTCTCTGTCTCATTTCCCCTCCGCGATAACCCAGTAACTACTATGCATGTCTGCAAGTGGGCGCTGAGTTATCGCGTCCCAAACTTAACCAGCTAGAGAGGCGCCTCAATACTCATTTGCTGAGAGCTCCTCCTGGGGAAAAAATTTTTTTTAAATAATAAGAAGATGCTCTTGCCTCCTCCAAGAGACCTCGATTACCCCCCCCCAACTCCCTAACTTGATTTCTTTCCAATCGTTGGGTTGAGGTGGGCTCCCACCTCCCTTCGCCAAAATCCTCCCTCCCCCTCCCTAAGAAAATCGATCTTGGGCCCTATTTGTGTCTGATGTCCGCCACCCCCATTTCCCCCAGAGAGCGCTGGATTTGTTTATTTCTTTATTTATTCTCGTGACCGAGGCGTCTGGGACTTGTGGCTGCGCAGGCCTGGACGGGAGCGATAGGCGAAGACCGAGAGAAATCAACCTCCCGCCGCTGCCCCCCAGTCGAGCGTGACAGCGCGCGGGCCGGTTGCGTGACTCGTGACGTCTCCAAGTCCTATAGGTGCAGCGTCTGGTGAGATAGTCCGTATCGCCTGGTTGCCTCTTTATTTTATTGGGGTATGCCTGGTAATAAACAGTAATATTTAATTTGTCGAAGACCACAAACCAACTTCGAGCTGGGAGGTACATACAACTCTTGACAATCGCTTGAAGAAGGCTTGGCCTAAAAGGGGTCTCTTTTGGGGTGTCCTTTCCAAATTCTTCACCTGAACACCCCCCTTCCCAGCGAGGCGGCACTCAGCTTCTGCGCTGGAAAGAAGAGGTGGGATTTTTGGAGGTGAGTGTCGCCCTGGAGACTCTGAGGGTGGGGGGGTGGGATAAGATTCTTTCAGCACTAGCCTGGCCAAGGCCCCCTTGCTTCCCGCCCCAACTCGGACCTGATGAATCCCCCCTCCCAGCGTTGCTAACTTTTCACCGTGTTAATGAGGATGCACTCTTTTGCATTTTGCCTTCAAATGTCACCTAGCGAGAAAAGATTCCCCTTCGAAGTTTCGAAATCCCAATTTCGCTTGGTGACCTGTAGAATCCGCACTCCACAAACGAAGCGAATCTGGCCAGGCAATTACTTGGGGGAGTACAGATTCTCCCTCTTGGGAGGGGGTCTACAGATTATTTATGGGAATTTATTTTATCTGCAAATCTCTGAGAATTTAAAGGGATTGGAGAGCTCGTTCTGGATTTCCCCTTCCTTATGCCAGAGATGTGGAGTCAGGCTCATCCTGGAGCCATGTTTGTTTTCCGTCTTGGGCCGGGGGGTCACCCCCTTAGCAAGCCCAGAGTCCTCTGAGCTGACATTTTGGAAGGGTGAGGGTGTTTTCACAAATAAATAAACTGTCTTGGCTAAAGGCTGTTTGAAAGCAAACCTGGAAGGTGGAGTGAGAACTGTGGCAAATGCTCGGGTTGTATTTCTCCCTGGTTGTCCCACTTTTAGGGTTGGACAGTCCACTTTGGAATTTTGCAGTGATGCGTCAGGCCTGCCCAGGGATTTTAGTCTGAGGGGTCACAGAGGATTACACTGAGGCAGACCCAAATCTCCAAGGCATTTCTCCTCCCTCCATCCCTCTCCCCAGACATTGGCCTGCAGGCCCGAATCTTTAATCAGAGCCCCCCAAAACAAGAGGGTGAGGGAGGTGGGGGGAACAGAACGAGAACCCTGACATTTGTTCCAAGCACTAATTCTTGGTTTTCCAATCTGGGTCTGCTCAGCCGAAGACTTACTGACTGTGTTTACGCTTCTATTGACCTCTTCAACTCGACCCTCAAAATAATACATTTCAGAGAGGGGGAGGGCAGGGAGAGGAGCCGAGTGGAGACGAAAACTCCAGCCAGCCCCCAATGACTGTTTGATTATTTTAATAAAACTGGGCACTGCCTTGTGTACACCTCCAGCCAGGGAGGTCTTGTGGCCCTGGGGGGTGGGAGCAGACAGCGATTTCTTGGCATCTTTGATCTCAGTCCCCATCCCCACGCACCTTCACCCTGCCTTCACCCCGGAGTCACTGAGAGTCGGGGTGATGAGTGGGGAGGGGGGGAGATGTCAGGGCGGCTAGCTGCGGCAGGCTGGGCCAGGCGGGGTCATGCAGCTCTCCGTCTTGAGGTCAGCGTTGGAGAGAGAACGCGGGCGACGCTGCAGAGGAGGCTCCGGCTGTGTGTGTGCACGCAGAGTGCGTTCGGACTCCGATCTCTGCACGTCCGCGTCACCGAGATTACTTCCCGGGCAGAAGCCGACCGGGTTTGCGATGATTTGTGCAGGATTTTTTGCAGCCATCGAGCCGCGCTCAGAGAAGCAGAGATGGATGGAGGTTGGGAAAGGGGTGGAGAGAAGGGGGTGATCTCGAGGTCTGGGTTTGAGAGTCGTGTTGTGATTTGAGTGTTCGGGAAATCTAATGGAAAAGGTGGTTGGGGGAGGGAGTGGTAACGGAGAGGGAGGAGGGAAGAAGGGAGGGAGAGAGGGAGAGAGACAGAGGCAGGCAGCGTGCGCTGGGAGCTAGTTGGATAGGCAATTTCAGTACTTTGTAAGCATCAGGGCTGCCCAACGTCACTGAGCTCAGCTGAGTCGGCTTGTATTTCTGAGAGAGAGAGAGAGAGAGAGAGAGAGAGAGAGAGAGAGAGAGAGAGAGAGAGAGAGAGAGAGAGAGAGAGAGAGAGAGGAGAGAGGGAGAGAGAGAGACTGACTTACCTCAGATTCCGGAACTTTAACCCTGAGAGCTGTGCTCAGAAAGGACTTTGACCATTCCCACGGCTCCCTCTCGTCTCCCAACTTTCCCTCCCTGGGGGTGCAAGGGAGAAGGAGGGCACTGGGATTTTAATATTAAAGGTGCTCCTGGGGACTGCTGTTTTGCGTTCTCTAGAGCCCTTCTGGCGCCTGACAGCTTGGAAGTCTTTAGGGAGAGCCAGCGCAAAGCAGAGGAGGTGTGTGTGGATGTGGGCAGTCCCTGCTGCCGCTCCCGCGGTGGGTGCTCCTTTGTAGGCAGCGGTAGCCGCTGGTCTGGGCAAGCAGCTCCCCGCGTAGACCCCCGGAGCCACCATGCCAGCGCCCCCGCCTCGCCGCCGGCTTCCCTGCTAGGAGCCAGAAGGGATGTGGTGAAGGCACCGGCTTCACCGAGCGAGGTAACCGTTCCGCAGATGGCCCGGGAGGCTCGGGAGGGAGCCCCGCCAGCCGAGTCGGCTCCAGGAGGCGCGAAAGGCAGCACTCCAGCCGTGCCTTGGAATCTGCAGGGCCCCGGCTTGCAGAGATTCTGTGCGGCCCAGGGCTGCCCGGCGCGGCGCGAGGAGCCGAGGAGGCGGCCGGGGCTAGGGGAGCGGCGTTGAGGTTTTGCAGAGCGCGCGGCCTGGTTCTGTCAAACCGCATCTCGTTCGGCCCTGCCAGCCCTGAGCTCTCCGGGACCCCGGCCAGGGCTCGGCGTGAGATTGTCCCCGCAGCCGGCGGTGAATGGGAGCGCACGTGGGGGACGCCATCCCCGCTTTCTTTTGTTGTGAGCAGGCTGCGGGACTCCCATCACCGCTTCCCTCAAATCCCAAGGGCGCGGTGAAGGAGGCGGCTTGGGAGTCGGGTCTCCGAAGCTGCCGGTCTCCTCGGCCCCATTTCTGGATCTCCAGCCACTGCGAACCAGGGTGGGATCTAGCCCTTTGCTGAAGCGGCTGCTAAGATTTTGGGGTGGGGGGGCATTTCTTGCGCCTCCTTCCGAGTCTTCCCAGGTTTTGAGGGAGGAAATCCCTACTTGGGAACGTAGAGGAGATTGGAAGGAGATCAGAGCAGGAGGCTGGCTCATCCGGGCTGAACCGTTCTGCGGCTCTTATTTAGCGTGTTCCAACCTCACTTGCCTGTAATCCCAGGCCATTCTACAGCGTTGCGCCGGACCTCAGCGGCCAAGGAAGGCCGAAAGCCCAGGATTTATCTGGCAACCACTTTGTCGTCGCTAACCTCGAGCTTGGGCCTACAGTTCCAGCGAGCCAGGCCGGGCTGCAGCTCAGAGAAGCTCCCCTCGGCCAGGCGGCTCGACAAAATGCCCGTCTCGGGCTGGAGAACCGAGAAAGCAAGGAGAACGCGGTCCCTGGGCCGGCCGCCGAGCGCTGGCCTCGGGCACCCTGCAGCGCTCTGTCCTCCGAACTGCGGCAGAGCCACCTTGCTGCCCTTTCTGTTCGGCGATTTTTTAATTTTAGCGTCGCTTATGGATGGGGGCAAGAGAAGGACTCTTAATGTTAAAGGACTTTTAATTTTAAGGCCTTAACTGATAAAAGATGAACGTGAATTCTCCGACCTGGTCTCTGGATCTGCAAATCTTTCCCCTCCTATGGTTTTGGTTTTGCAAGAGACGGGTTATTTCAGGCATCTTGCCTGCTGCAGAAAAATATTCCTCTTGTGGGTTTTAATAAACAGAGCTCTGCTGGCCTCCAGTAATTTGATGAAGCAAAAAAAAAATCTCAAAAGGGCACTAGGTTTGTGTTTTGTTTTGTTTTGGGTTCGTACCCAATGGCTTCCAAAAATACCCAGGCCTTATCTTTATTGGCTCTTCCAGAAGTCCAGACAAATTTGACGGGCAGCTTGCTTATCATGGGGAGCCTGCGCAGGGGAGATGCGGGCCTCGCCTCCTCCGGGTCTGACGCGGGTCTTGCAAGAGGTTGTGCGTGGCCATAAAGTAATAGTAACGAATAATTAACAGGACCTTCTGCAGCCTCCTTGGGCTGGGAACTGGGGTGGTGGTAGCTGGAAACTGCTGGTAGCTGCCTAGTAACTGCTCCCTCCTGTCACCAGAACGGTGCTTCCAACCTTCTGTTTTTCTCTCTCTGCACCCCCTCCCATCTGTCCTTCTCTTTGCTTCCCATCCTCAGAGCAGGACCCCGAGCGGTCGCAGGGCCCCGGGCTCACCATGGCCGACGCAGACGAGGGCTTTGGCCTGGCACACACACCCCTGCAACCAGACTCGAAGGATCTGCCCTGTGACTCCAAACCTGAGAGCACGCTAGGGGCCCCGAGCAAGTCCCCTTCGTCCCCGCAGGCCGCCTTCACCCAGCAGGTAAGAAGATCTCGGGCCTCAGGGCCCTTTGCAGAAACCAAAGCCCCTCTGTCGGGTGGTTGGGAGGGGGAGCTCCATGCCCATAATTGCCCCTTTCCTTTTTACCTCACTCAATTCCACCTTTCTCGGCCTTGTCTCCCTAAATGCCAGTATATTCCGATCTGCTTTATTGTGATGATTAACTTTATGGCCAGAGGATTTTTGAAATATATTGAAGTTGTTAAGGATGCCTTAATTACCTGGCTATTTGGGGCCGGCGGACAATGGCCCAGATCATTTCTTTCCTGCTGCACTAGGTGTCAACTCGGCCTGAACGCCTCATTAAGGGCCAGGTCAACGGCCGCTTCAGGCCGGCATGAGCGATGGCTTGACCCCGCTTCAGATCTGCGGTAGCCTTCGCCTCGGCCGAGCGCCGCGCGGAGGGACCATTCGTCCGGCGGGCAGCCGGAGCCTGGCGGGCTGGCGCGGCCGGGCGGCCGGCGGGGAGCGCGCAGGGCTGGGCCAGGAGGGCGCGGGGGGCCGCGGGCTCGCCTGGCTGGAGGCCGGGCCGGAGCCGAGCGTGAAGCCTCGCCTCTCGCTCTGCGCCCTTCACCCGGGCGCCCGGGGCGCTCAAGGCGTCCACTGCAGACCTTGACGATTTCTAAACAGGGTGTCAGCTGGCGGGAAGCGGGGTGTCTAGACCAGAAGAGATACTTGGAAGTAACTCAAACCCTTCTTTGGGATGTCGATGCCCTTCCTGGCTTTTTCATCGCCTCTTTACTTTGCCCTTCAGGGCTCAGGAAGGTGCGGGTTTATTTGTAGAGAGGACGTGAACAGTGGACATGCACTTTTGGAAACTTAGAGGCTTTCTTTTACTGAAAAGCAAATCCACTGTTAGACGTTTACAGATTATTGCAAAACAAACACTTTGTATGTAACTTTTTTTTGCATCGGCTTTATAAAACAACTTGTTGAAAGCAGAAATGTTAAATCGTTATGCCTATAATCAAAACAGCTTGTGGTGAACAAAGCTAGATGCAAGGAGGGCCTAGAAGGTATATTAATATAGACATTTGAGAATTAATTTTTGTTGGGGACTGTGGGAACCTCCTGCAATATATAAGCATTAAAAAAAATTAAATTTCACCTATCTCTATATAGGCACTGCTATGGTGAGAATAAACAGGCACATACACAGCATTGCACATCTGTCTGTTTTCCAGTGGACGTCTGGGTGTCTACATAAGAATATTCTGAGTGGGTTTTTTGAGTTTGAAGTTTTGGGGTTTTGTTTTTTCTCTTTTGGCTGCCTTTTGGCTAAAGCAGATTGGGATTGATTTCCTCACCCCCTCCCCGCCCTTTTTTTTTCCAGCCCCCTCCTGCCCATGTACATTCTGAAACACCCTGATGGTTAAGACGTTTTCTCTAGCCTTGTGTTGGTGGCATTAGAAGGAAGAGCACTACATTGTGGGGATAAGACCTCCCTGAGACAGAGCATACATAAGGATTCCTGGGCAGGGGCTGTGGGTGATCCAGAGTCCCTCCACTGCTGCAGTGGGCTGGGGGCAGTTTTCAGCCTCTGAGCCCACGACTCCAGAGGGAAGGAGAAACCTCTGTGTTTGGGGAGGGAAGGCTTATTGCCTCCAGAGCTCATCTGAGTGGCTTTCTCTCCTTCCTATAGGGCATGGAAGGGATCAAGGTGTTTCTCCATGAAAGAGAACTGTGGCTGAAATTCCACGAAGTGGGCACGGAAATGATCATAACCAAGGCTGGCAGGTGAGATGGTCACCTCTGTGGAGGAGGCACGGGAAACTTGGGGGAGAGATGAAGAAGAAAGATGGCGTGGGAGACCAGAGAAAGGAGAGAATAGAAAAGAGGGGAGGGAGAGAAAGAGAGAAAATATGAATATATTTTGTTTACCTAGATTCTGGTTAAAGAGGCAGGGAGAATTCCTCTAGCAGTCTCCATCAGTGTTGGGGGGAAATAGCTGTACTGAGTATTTCTTCCATCTCGGATATAAGAGTCAAGAGCTTGGGCTATCCAGATATATTAGTAACTTAGAAAAGAGGGATGAGGTGGGAGAGTGAACCAGAGAACAGAGAGGTTGCAGAGACACAGAGATGAGGCCAGCTTTGGTTTTTATAGGGTCTCAGACTTGAGTCTTCGCCCCGACCCTCCTTCCCATCCTCCCTGACCTTGGAGTGGTTCCGGAGTCCCACTCGATCGCCAAACTCAGAATACTTGAATGTACTCGCTACCTCTTTCATTGTTTACAGAAAGCAGGCGAAGCCTTTGAAACTGAACCGGGGCTCGCCGGGCTCTATATACAGACACCGATAAACACGGCAGTTTCGTTAAGACACTCACTCCGGAGCTCCTCTTAAAAGCTCGCAGAGTTGTAGCTAGAAATGCGAGACTTCTGGGGCAGGGGGTGGGAGGGCGGTGCATCCCCGTAGCTTGGCGTGTGAATGCGCGCGGGCGTGCGCCCAGGCCCGGGGACAACCTCGCCACGTCCCTGCCAGTGCCGGGCTGGCCCTTCCTGTCCCTAAGGAGAGAAAGCCCCAGTCTGATCAGAGCAGGCGTGTGAAGCCAGAGAACCGGTAGGCCCAAGCCACCGAGTGTGTGAAGGGGGCGGGTGGAGCCGCCTCGCCAGACGCCCACCGCTTCTCCAGCCGAAGCCTCCCGCAATAAACTGACAACAGTGACATTTATTATTATTTGAAATTAAACAACGTCTGTTCCCCAGCTCGGCCTGAGTGAACTAGGAGGCGGGTTCTGTTTATACCAAAGAACTAAGGTCTTCTTCCCATTCGGCCGAGGAAGGAAAGGAGCGGCCGGGGCCTCCTTTTCCCCCCCAAGACTGAGCCGACAGGATTTAACTATAAAAGGCCTGCGAAGCCTCCCTGCGCTCGCTGGGGCAGATAAACACTGCTAGGCGAGGCTCCAAGGCCAGAGAAAGAGAGGAGGCTCCACACACCCCTTCCCGCCATCCCTGAGCCAGCCAGGATCCGGCAACTGGTCCTTTAGGAAGGCTTGCTTTCCGGGGCGCACTCCTCCCCGCGGAGAGGGAGCGGGCCCAGTACACGCGGTACCGCGGAACCGCCTTCCACCCCCTACGTGCTCGAGCAGGGCCCAGCTCTTTCTGAAACCAAATCCGCGTGGATTTTTGAATGGCTTTGCAGGAGGGCCAAAGAAAGAAGGAAGTGTGCCAGGTGCCTGGGAGAAATCGTGGGGGGCATTTAGGAATAAATTCCTGCTCCAGACTCCTGTCACAGGTCACACACCCACCTGGACCCTGGGGGTGGAGGACTGAAGCCAGGATGCTAGGTGTGTGTGGGCACCCACGCGTGTGCAGTCCCAGGGCGCAGCCACCTTGGTGCCCATGTGACACATGGCGCTGCACAGATTGCCCAAAACACCTGGCTGGGCGGAGGACACCAGCTATTTTTTTTTAAACCTGATGAGCCTTTTCCTGCCCCCAGATTAAAAATTAGTTGTCTGGTTCTGAAAAGAGCATTTAGCAAGAGTTGAAATACGGGAGTCCCTTTCAGGCCTTCTTCAAAGCCAGTCTCTAGAAGCCCTCGCCTCCTGGTTTCTGTTTCCTCCTATGGGTATTGTCCCAGCCTGCTTTCTCATCTCTTGACCGATCTCTTCCCCAAAACTTGGAGGGAAACGTGGGATGGATCTTGACAAGAGTGGAGCAGGGTCCACTTTTCTCTTCTATGGCTCTTAAAAGATCAATTCTTCCATTGCAATGTGTGGACACGATTTTCACAATATTTGCATTAATTCCTTCTCTCGCTCTCTGTCTCCCTGTCTCTCCTCCTGCCTCTCCATCTCTCCTAGGCGGATGTTTCCCAGTTACAAAGTGAAGGTGACCGGCCTTAATCCCAAAACGAAGTACATTCTCCTCATGGACATCGTTCCCGCCGATGACCACAGATACAAGTTCGCGGATAATAAATGGTAGGGACGGCGCGGCAGGCGGACAGGACAGGGAGGAACATGCAAACCCAACTTCCTCTCCCCACTGAACCAAAAAACATCTTGAGCTCCTACTGTGTGCTAGAGGTTTTTGCTACCCATTCCACCGCATCCTCCTGACCTCACCCTGAGAAAGAAAAATAGCAGTCATTAGCTCCCATTTTATAGATGAGAAAACTGAGGTTCGGAGAAAGTAATGTGCCAATGATATCTGTTGCTACTCCCAGAGTGTTGTGGATTTTTAAAAAGGGTATTGTTACCAAGCATTGGAGCTATTTCTGGGGGCATAAACCATTAACAGTTATTTTTTATGAGTTACCTGCTTTGAACACGCCTTTTTTTTTTTTAAATGAAATTGCAAAATCAGCCCGGGGTATTTGAGTTAAACAAGCAAGACAGGAGAGGCCCATTCTTTGGGTACATTGCTCCCACGGCTGCCAAGAATACAGAGGCTTGAAGAGGAAGCCTCCTTTGAAAGCCCTCAAGGAGTTTTCCCGAGACTTTTTGCCACATCCAGGCTTCCAGAGCCTGCCAGTTGTTCATGGGCAGAGGTGCTGGGAGGACCCCACAGCACCCTTGGTGCTGAGGAGGAATTAGGTGGAAGGAGAAAAGAGCCGGGTGGGGAGGGTCTTTGGCCACCGGCACCAGGTTTTCTGGGCATCTGTGACTGGAGATGGCCCAGCGAGACCTGAGGGTCAGGCCATTTCCAGATTCTGCTCCTGGTGCAAGAACCAGCCCGCACCATGGTGTGCTAAGTCTGGGCCGGTCGTGCCTCTCCTCGGTCTAGGTCTGTGACGGGCAAAGCGGAGCCCGCCATGCCGGGCCGCCTCTACGTGCACCCAGACTCACCGGCCACTGGGGCGCATTGGATGCGGCAGCTCGTCTCCTTCCAGAAGCTCAAGCTCACCAACAACCACCTGGACCCTTTTGGGCATGTGAGTACCTGGCGCAGCAGCCCTTCCTTGCACCTGCAGGTCCACACCTTCTCTTTCTGACTTGGCCCCTCCCCTCCCCTCTCCCTCTTTTCCAGGACTTTCTCTCTCTTCTTGGATCTTTGCACCCGCTCTTGCTCCATTTCACCCACCTGGGTGTTTTTCTCCCTCTGCCTTCCTGATCTTTCTTTTTCCTTTCTCTCCTCTTACTCTCTTTTCTCTTCTATTTCTCGCACCTCCAATCCTTCCTCTCTGTCTCCACCTCTTTCCTACTCATACGTCCTCCCTGGGGACCACTGTTCCACACTCTGGGTGTGTCTTTCCTGGGGGGCTGGCAATTGGGTCCCCAGTTCTTCTGGCCTGGGCTCTCACTGCATCCCTGCTGCCCGCAGCACCCAACACATATGCCTTTGTTGAGGGGTGGGTGTCGTGGGGTGACTAAAGCTGTTTGCTTGGGGCCTGGAATTCCTGTTGGCTCAGTCTCATTTGCGGTTATGGGTGGGGGGCTGTTTCAGTCCTGCAGAAGGCATGGGCCCTCTAGCTGAGCGGATGCTCAGCACAGGCCGCAGAGGCTGGACCATGGAGGGAGCTGTAAACCTTACCTACCTCCTTCCAGATCTTGCCTTATTATTGGGATGTTCTGCCTGACAGGGAGACTCTGGCCACCTGCTTCCTCTTCCTACAGGTGGGGAAACCAACCCACCAGAGGTGAATGTAGTACCTGTCCCCCTTTTAGCTCGAAACTCTTGGGTTCATATGTTTTTTTCCCGCCTAGCTTCCAGCTTTCCCTCCTCCTCCCACCGTGCTCCGAACATGAAAACCCAGATCAGGGTCCAATACCTGGAGTCTAAATTGGCCCCAGCAGAGAGGGGCTAGGTGACCCCCCCTAAACTGCAGGATATTGAACATATAGTCCCCCACCCTCCGAGAGAATGTGTAACTTCTAGCAGATTCTCCATTGGGTACCATCCTCTCTTCCCCAAGGAAAAACAAAACACTGATTTAGAGAAAAATGTCCCTAAATCTCTTCATTGGAAATAATCACCAGGACAGAATGCAGTCACTGGATTCAGTGTTTAGGACCCTTGCTTTGATGATGCCACCATCCAAGTGGGCTGGTTTCTCTTAGGACATTTGATCCTTATAGTGGCTTAGAGAGGAGGGCAGAAATATTACAGCCTTTGTAGCTGGGAGTCCAGGGGAGGGGAAGTGACTTGCCCGAGGTCATATACCTCAAACAGG